TAACCACGTCACTTCCAAGGTCACCCCTGACCTGCATTTATACTAAGTTCTACATACACTCACTAGGCAAACAACATCTTCAAGCAACCTAATGGCTTGTATTATATTCAGCTAATAGAACGGATTAAAAAAAAAGCATAAAAAAAAGGCCTTGATACGTTTAACCTTACTCAACATCCTATTCATATCAGGCGTAATTTTCTGTTTGACCAGTGTGAAGAGTTGGACGTAACTCAGTAAAAAAGAAAAAAGGAGTATAGGGCTACGCCTAAAACAAATCACTATACCACTATACAATTAAACTGCAAAACCAGTTTTTAGTAATTATGTGGTATCTTTAGAAAGCAAAACGATGAACGTTTATAATTATAAATATTAAAAAGAAGCTAAAATAAAGTTTGTTACCGCGTGTAAAATAAAATCACGATACCAATTGGACAACGAATATTGAGCCATGTAACACTGCCCGACTAGGTAGCAAGTTGTTGATGTACTCAACAAATAGATTTCATTATTACACAAATAATAAATAATTATACTCTCAATGTTCATCACCCTGCTATTTCGAATTATTAATAAAAGACAAAAGAAACGAAATTCTCTTATCACTGCAAGTGGGAATTACAATGTATCCAAAAATTACGATCTCACAATTATGTTAACATGATTTCCAAATATAGTGTACATTTTCTGCCATGAAAAGACTTGTTAAACATTACAATTTAAATCAGTCGTATTCAACATCAAATTATTATAAAACATACAAGAGTACTCCACCTTACCTTCCCATTTTAACAGTACATATCTGATTAATAAAAAACGAATTATTTCGACACCAGGAACTATAAAAATGGCTTAAAATCTACGAAACTACCGTAACAATACTTCAAACGTAACGCAAATTAAGGATTTGAACAATACCAAGCACACACAATGTGCGAAACCAAAAAAAAAAAGGCAAACGTTTTTTTTTATTCCAAGTGAAAATAAAAAAGCGCCTACCAGTCGGTGTATCAAGCATACAAGTATTACAGATGTGTGTGTGTATCCAGTATGTTAGCGCGTTGAAAGCTATACAAATGGGTTTTCTTTTTCCCAACACCGGAAGTTGTCCTTTTCACCGGCAAACCGTCACCGGAGAAGGTTTTTGTTCACACGATGTTGGTCACACGCATACGCTGCCCATTGTTAAGCTTCTAAAGTTTGTTAGTGCCTTACGTTACGTGTATTTAACTAGAAGTTTTACCGCTGTTTACGTTCAAATACATTATAGTTCACATGATAAATTTTAGCATTTCAGTAAGCATTACAACGAGTTTTAACTAAACAGACCTCACTTCACAGAATAACTATTACACTTAGAAAACGATGACACTGACATCATTTACACGTTTCGGGAACTTAAAACTTAGCGTTTAAACGTTAATCTACACAGTTCATTTCAATGTTAAACAAGCAAAATAAATATTTAACATAATATATATACGAATCATCATACAATAATTGTAAACTTTCAAGCGTTTTCCATTAATGTTTACCATCCACCTCCAACATCAAAAAAGGGAAATAAAACCTTACGTCGTCTTTTCTATGTGGAATTTTTCGCATTCCAAAACGTTCGTTTATTTTTATACCTTCACCTACTGCATACCAAAACTGAATTTAAAATCAATCCTACCACGAGATACAGCGTAACAAGTTTGACTCTACGGAGCCTCTCACTTAATTAGCTTTGAAGATACATAAATGTTTCATGAGAGTCCCCACCCTTTGCGTGGTAATCTTAGTAAATGCTCACATTTTCCTTGATGTCACTGTCGGTCTTAATGGTATACAAGATCCATTTCTTTGACTCAAAACTTAATGCTTTGGTTCCAAAAATTAGTTACGTTTTAGATTATGCATATCTAACTTAATTTCATATAAGAATAATTAAATGTTTTGTTTATAAATTTACCCGGGATATATTTATTCAATTCCAGTTTAAAGATTAATTTTCTTGGTGCATCTTATGTATCACAGCTCTTAACTATGTAAAACATGTTCCTCCAACTAAAACACGCAAATTCTTTTCACAAAATAGGGACAAAAATTACGTTTTTCATCCTTATTTATAAACGTTATTTCATTCTAAACCTAATTCATTCAAATGTGTTAGTACTTTGGTTTGATTCATTGACATTGCTTAAATACAAAGCAGTTGCCAAAATTTCTTCATTAATACGGATTTTACTTTATTTTTAATATTAATCCAACTGATGAGGGGCATGCTTTTTGAATTTTGTTTCTGCTCGTATGTGATAAGTTTAACATTTTAGTTTGCTGCTAGAACCCTACGTAACTTGAAATATTATTTTGTTGCAATCAACAAGGTGATATCTTAGTTATCCTGTCCTTATTTATCCTGTTTTGCACTTGCACTTCCTCCCTTGAATAAATTTTGCAAATGCTTTAAATAAATTATGTAGTGTTTGTGGTAATATCTATAATTTTAGTAATAAACTTTAATCGTAGGCTAATTTGTTAGCAGAAGTCTAAAATACATATCATCACTTTTAACTAAACACAAAAATTCAATGAAATAAAAGTATCAGTAATTCTCATTTTATTTGGGTGTCATTCTCACTTGTAAAAATTTTATGTTAGATACTTCCTATGCACACATTTGACTTGCATACATTTGCTTCAAGTTTTATGGTACAAATAAACTTGTAACTTTATGCTGTAAGACTACAGTAATGATGATAGCCAACTGTGTGCACCTCTATAAAATTTACAAACACTAATCAGAAAAAGCATCAAGTCTTCATAACAGTTATTAATGAAAAGATAATAAACTGTGACACCATGTACTTATTTTTTTTACTATTAAATCTTTCTGTTAAAGGTTAATAAAAATAAAATACAATTATGTTACATAGAGGAATATAACAATATGCTAGCCATATTTTTTATTAACTTGCAAATTTAAAGATCAAATTCAGACTGACATGCATGTTTTTTATATTTTAACAGTTTAATCTCAAAAACGTAATTTTTCAGGTTAGTCATAATCTTGAGTTATCTGTTTGAATGTTTTCAACACAATATGGTAAATTATATGTTTCTCAGAAAATAATATTAAGCAACCACATTTATCACTACAAGCTCAAT